AAAAATGTGTAGCCAATTTTGAAAGAGATGCATCCTTGCTCTGGAAACTGTTACTATGTCAATGCTATTGTAATGAAATTCTTCTACTAATTATGTGGTTATTAAATAAATTTTTAAAAAAGAAATATTTAGCCAGGTGTGGTGGCGTACACCTTTAATCCCAGCACTTGGGAGGCAGAGGCAGGCGGATCTCTATGAGTTCAAGGCCAGCCTGGTGTACATAGTGAGTTCCAGGACACAGCTGGAGCTACAGGGAGACTCTGTCTCAAAAAGACCAAAAAAAAATATATATATATATTTAATTCCACACACACAAAAATATTTTTAAAAACAATCATATTGAAGAATTGTATCTATGAAAAATTGGAATCAGTGGCTACCTCGCAGACTTTCATGGTAAATGTGTTTTCCTTTTCCTATCCTTAACCATTTTTAGCCAAACATGGTAATACATACCAATAATCCCAGCACGTGGGATGTCTAGTTTGAAGCCAGACTGGGCAGACTTGCTTCTTTCTGAAGCAAGACCCTGCCTCAGAAAAACAAACACAAACCCACCAAACAACAAACAAAATTCCAATATTTTTGTGCATGTCCAGGAAATTCCTAGAGCATAAATGAAGCTTACATAGCTATTCTAAATGACTTGTGAGTATGTTTTCTGTAGATCTGTTGAATAAGAGGCTAAGTATATATGTAGCATTATAGTAGCAGTTGGTAAACCTTTATTTTGGATAATTATAAATTCTTTTGTGTAAAATAAAAATGATGTCTGGCTAAGACTTCGATTAAACTTAGCTGTGCTCTCTTGTAGACGCTGTTATCTTTCCTGCTGCCTGGACACACTAGACTAAGAAACCAGATAACAGAAGTCTTGGATCTGGACCTGATAAAACAGGAAGCAGAGAATGGAGCCCTAGACATTTCCAAGCTGGCAGAATTCATTATTGGCATGATGGGGACATTGTGTGCACCTGCTCGAGATGAGGAACTTAAGAAACTAAAGTACATTAAGGAAATAGTGCCCCTTTTCAGGTATGGAAATAGAAATGTGTCCATCACAGTGCACCAAAATGAAAACCTGTTTTCAGATTTCAACTTCCCAAAGTCAAGGGCTCAGGCATTTAAACACTTACAGTCACTCTTTTTCCAGCAATAGGACCTCGAACTCAAAACCAGTTTGAGGTACATGGTGAGACCCTGAAAAATGAATGATTGGATGGATGGATGGATGGATGGATGGATGGATGGATGGATGGATGGATGGATGGATGGATGGATAGATGAACAAATAAATAAACAAGGGAGCTAGCAGTACTTCTTAGTTCCAGCTAACTAATCCAGTGGCTTTGATGACTCAGGTTGTCCAAGTTTTTGATTAAGAAAATTTGGGCCAAGCATGGTGGCATACACCTTTAATCTCAGCATTCTGGAGGGAGAGGCAGGTAAATCTCTTGAGTTCAAGCCCTAGTCTACATAGTGAGTACCAGGCCAGCTGGGGCTACAGGGAGACCCTGTCAAAAAAGACAAAGAAAATTTGGATCCCACATAAGCTCAAGACAGACAAAATGCCAGCATAGACATGGGAAAGTGGCTCAGAAACTCTAACCCTACCTGAGGAACTATTGGCAACTGATGATTGCTGAGAAGGGGAAATTCAGTTACATTTAAGAGTGAAATTCTTAGTAGGTTGACCAGACTCCAATGGATGAACCCACACTGAAGGGCATTTGAGTACACAAACCTGTCTCTGTAGGCATATATATTAACTGATCCTCAGATATTTTTTACTTATTATCTTTTTTATTTTATGTGTATGCGTGTATTGCCTGCATGTAGATAAGTACACCCGTGTCGTGCAATGCCCGTGGAGGTCAGAAGAGGCTGAGAGGCTGTCGGATCCTCTGGGACTGGAGTTATGGACAGTTGTTAGCTGCAATGCGGGGTCTTCTACAAGAACAACCAATGTTCTTAACTGCTGAGCCATCTCTCCAGACATATATATTAGAGTACAAAAATTTGGTGTGGGGTTAGAAAGGTACAGATACGGGAGGGAATATAAATTAATAAAATATATAAAACTCCCAAAAATTCAATTAAAAATGGACATTGCATGACATGGGTGCACTTAGCTACATGCAGGCAATACACTCATACACATAAAATAAAAAATAATAAATAAAATATTTTGAAAAAATTTGGAGATCCAGGTGTTTTTTCCATTTCCATTTATTTTAAAATATTTTTTATTTTATTTTATTTCTTGAGACAGGGTCTTCCTGTAGTCCCAGTTGGCCTGGAACTCACTATTGTAGACCAGGCTGGCCTTGATCCCACAGAGATCAACTTGCCTCTGCTTCCCTAGTGCTGGGTTTAATGGCATGCACCACCACACTTGGCTGTTTTATTATTATTGTTATTAATTTATTTTTTGTCTTTTTGAGACAGGGTCTCCCCGTAGTCCCAGCTGGCCTGGAACTCACAAAGATCTACCTGCCTCTGTCTCCCAGGTGCTGAGATTAAAGGCGTATGCTACCACGTCCAGCTTATTTTATTATTTTTAACCATGTGTACCTGTGTCTATGTCTGTGCGGGTGTATGTTCATGTGAATGCAGATGCCCCAGGAGGCCAGAGGTATACCCTGGAGCTGGAGTTACAGGTAGTTGCCTGATGTGGGTGCTGGGAACCAAACTGGGGGCCTCTGAGAGAGCAGCAAACACTCTTTAACCCTCTGCACTATCTCTTCAGCACTAAAATCTGGAGATCAGAAGAAGGCAGTGGATCCCCTGGAACTGGAGTTACAGATGGTTGTTAGCTGCCATGTGGGTGCTTGAAATCGAACCCTGGTCCTCTGCAAGAGCAGTCAGTGCTCTTAAACACTGAACCATCTCTCCAGCCCCAATATTTATTATTTTTACTTTATGCGTATGAATGTATTGCCTGCATGTATGTAAGTGCACCGTGTCATACAGTGCCCGAGGAGATCAGAAGAGGGCATCAGATCCTCTGTAATTGGAGTTATAGACAGTTATTAGCCGCTACGTGGGTACTGGGACTTGAACCCTGATACTCTCTAAGAGCAGTCAGTGCTCTTAATTGCTGAGCCATTTCTCCAGCCCCAGAGATCTGAGTTTTTGGAAGGACTATGTAAGCAGTGTTTGGGGCTACTCCCAGTCAACAGGCTATCTTGTGGGCAGTTTCTGATGCCTCTGGTTTCCTGTAGGTAGATTTAGAGAACTGTTGGGAGTGCTTTCTAGTAGGAACAGTATGCCTCCCAGGAGAAGTGGGCTGCTGATGGATTTGGAGATGGATAGTAAGGGGAGGGGAGGCTCAGAATGTAGAGAAGGGTTACTCCTCAGACTGCATCTTTTCCCACACATGAACGCTGTCTAGAATGCAGTACATTCTAAAGGACCTTCAGACCTGGACCTAGGAGGATATTTTATCCTATTCCTACTTTTGTGTAGGGCCACATCTACACCTGAACCTTGGGTTCTTAACTACCCCCTGCATGTAGGCACTCAGCAGTTCTTAGTTGGCTGCCATGAGGGCTACCTAGAATCAAAGACCAAGTTCTGGGCAGGAGAGGCAGTGTCCAGCCTCAGGGGCAAGAGGTAAGGATGAGAGAACAAAAAAAAAAGCTTAAAATTTTGTAATATTTCAAGCCATTGTTTCCCAATTTTTTTCTTTGTTTTATTTTTAAGTTTGTGGGTGTGGGTGTGGGTGTGGGTGTGGGTGTGTGTAGGTGAGTACAGGTGCCCCCCCAGAGGCCACAGGTGTTATCTGATCTCCTGGAGCTGGAGTTAGAGGCAGTGCTGAGCCATTTGATACGGGTGCTAGGAACTGAACTTGGGTTCTCTGTAAGAGCAGTATGAGCTCTTAACCACTGAGCCATCTTTCCAGTACCTAAATTTGTTTTTAATTTACTTTTCTCATAATTTTCCAAACTTCTCTTGTTGCCCTTTTTGAGATGAATCCTTATCTCTTTTCCTTTAAACTGTGTTTACTTCACCTCTGCCTGGTTCTAAAGCTCTTCCTTTTTTTAGGGCAATCTTTTCTGTGTTGGACTTAATGAAAGTAGACATGGCAAACTTTGCTGTCACTAGCATTAGGCCACATCTCATGCAGCAGTCAGTTGAATATGAGAGGAAGAAGTTTCAAGAGGTTTTGGAGAAACAGCCAAGTAAGTTTAATTTGGTGCTTTCTGGTGCTTTTTCATCATTGGTATTTTTATTTTGTTTTTCATTTTAGTTGCTATAGTATGTTGCATAATGATACTATCTTCAAAACTAAAATCATGTGTGAGGGTGGTATAATTTGAAGAAGGAAAAGCATGAGATGCTAGGACTACATCTGGAGGTTCTGAGCATTGAAAATAAAACTCAGGGGCTGGAGAGATGGCTCTGTGGTTAAAAACACTAGGTGCTCTTGCAGAGGACCCAGGTTCAGTTCTCAGCACCCACATGATGGCTAAAAAACTGTAACTCCAATTCCAGGGGAATCTAATGCCCTCTTCTGACCTCCGCAGGCATTGCACAACATGGGTACACTTGCATACATCAGACAGTACTCTCATACACATAAAATAAAAATAAAATATATTTTAAAAACAGAAAATAAAGCTCAATTGAAAAGCAAGAGCTATGGGTAGGATATGAGAGTATGAATGAAAAAGAATTAAGTTTACTACATTAAATGTCCCCCCCCCCAAAGAAAACACCAATTTGAGATAAATTATATTTTGGGTCTTGACCTTAAAATCATGACAAATCATACTGGGTGTGATGGAACAGGCCTTTAATCCCAGCACTTGGGAGGCAGAGGCGGGCGGATCTCTGTGAGTTCAAGGCCAGCCTGGTCTATATAGAAAATTCCAGGCCAGCTGGGGCTATAGGGAAACCCAGTCTCAAAAAACGCCAGAAAAGCAAAACAAAAAAAATCATGACAAACCTCTTACTAATCAATTTTCCTCCTTATGGGGTATAGCAGAAAATGTTTCTTTTGTTCTGTATGCAGAAGTCTGTTTTCACAACCAGGAAAAGTCAGTTTTTGTTTTTATTTTTTATTTTTGAGACAAAGTTTTGCTATGTATCCTTGGCTGGCCTGTAGTCAATGTATAAAACGAGTTGACAGTCGGGCATGGTGGCATATGCCTTTGATCCCAGCACTTGGGAGGCAGAGGCAGGTGAATCTCTGTCAGTCTGAGTCCAGCCTGGTCTACACAGAGAGTTCCAGGCCAGCTGGGGCTACAGGGAGACCCTGTCTCAAAAAAGACAAAAAACAAAACAAAACTTAAACTTGTGGCAGTCTTCCTTCCTTTCCCTCCCAAGTGCTGGAAAGAAAATGGTATTTTTATGAACCTCTGACATGACTGTAGGTAAAAAAAACTGCTAAGAATCTAAAGCTGTTGTATTTCAGGGTGCTTTCAGATGTGTTTGATGAATTTCATTTGGCCTCCAGCTTTGCTGTGGCTTTATGAAGAGGTGAAAATGGCAGTGTCTGGATAGACCATGTTGCCTGACTAGATTAGTTAATTCAATGCCCCCAAAGTTGAATCCTGCAGCCTCACGAGGGGTGCTTGGGGCCACGAGGAGTGTGGGAAGAGGCCAGTAGAAGTAATTGCAGAAGATTGGCTGGCACATGACTCAGACTCTAACTGGTATTACAGTACCCCTCAGGAGGCACCCAAGGGCATGGTTTTATAGGCTAAAGAGCTTTAGTGGAACAGTAAAATACCAGGAGCTCAGGTGCAGTGAAGGGCTCACTGCTGAAGTAGGAGCCTAGCTATAGTCCCTGGTCATCAAGCACTTGTCCACCATTTCAAGGTTTTCAAAGAGTTCAAGGGCCAGAGAAAAGCTGCCTTCAGAAGGTTAAAGGCAGAGTGAGGCCAGATGACCCAGCAGTTAGGACCACATGGAGACCTTTGTGCAGAGAACAGAGGTTCATCCTCTCGCATTAGGGAAGAACTGACAGCAGCTGTGACACCAGCTGCCTGCCTTTTTTTTGAAGAAGGTAGGCCTCCATCAGAGCTGCAACACTTCCAAGACCAAGATACATTTTTTTGTTTAGAATGTGGACAACATCCTCTTGTTCTTTTAGGGTACCTGCTGCATTATCAGCTTAGAAAGCAGGGGGAGCATGATGGCCCTTGAAAGCTACCTGAGCCCCACTGACAGTACTCCCAGTACAATGTATTATACACCAAACACAGCCATGTGTAATCCCAATGGATGTGTAAGACCTAGACAAGGGAGGCTGAAGAGATGGCTCAGCATTTAAGAGCACTGACTGTTCTTGCAGAAGACCCAGGTTCAAATCCCAGCACCCACATGGTGGCTAACAACCATCTGTAACTCCAGTTCCAGGGGATCTGACACCCTCTTCTGTCTTCCTTGGGCACTGCACAACATGGGTGTGTGGGGTCTCTCCCTCCCCTCGTGGGTTGTTGGCCACCGATTGATGAGAACAAAGGGAGCAGAAGCGACAAACAGGGTCAGGATGGCCAGTGAGCACTGACGGAAGAAAGCCCTTCCAGGGAGGCAGATTCAGTGATTCAGCTCCAGATTCAGTGCTACAGCTCCATTTATTCAGTGGGGCTTAGGGAAAATAGTGTGGAGGCAGCAGCCAAAGCTTCAGCTGATAGGTGCTTATAGTATGCTTTATTTGCATGTGGCCGTAGGCTCCTATCCCACTATAGGGCAATGCCTAATTATCATATAAAAAAAACCTGGGGGTTTTATTGAAGGTAACTATGCCAAAGGTCATGTTCCAAATTAGGTTAGGCATCCGTGCTTGGTGGCACTTTCCAGGTAAGTCAGGCAGAGAGCAGGAGGCCCCGCTGAGAAAGGGAGCCCCTTAGAGCTATCTGGACATGGAGGACTACAACCTTAGCAGCAGGGTTCCCCAACAATGGGTGCACTTACACACATACAGGCAATACACGCATACACATAAAAATAAATTTAAAAAGATTCAGGCATGGTGATGCACACCTTTAATTCTAACACTCAGGCCACAGAGGCAGGTGGATCTCTGCGTTCAAGGCCAGCCTGGTCTACATAGTGAGTTCCAGGCTAGCTGGAGCTACAGGAAGACCTTGTCTCAAAGAGACCCCCCCCAAAAAAAGAAAGACCTAGACAAGAAAAGAGCTGGTCTCAGAGTGGAAGGTGTAAGGAGACTCTGGCTGCTGTCTTGACCACCTGTCTGTGGGCCAGAATTTTTGTCATCTCACAGAACTGCAGTCATCAGGACTTCCAGCTGCATATGCAGTGGTCAGGAGAGGAGAGTCAGAAGGAGAGCAGCAAAGCCTGGCTAGGTGCTGTCAGTCTAGGAAGCAAATCAGGTGTTGCCCTTTTCTTTATCAGAGGAATTTGATATTTAGATAGATTATGGCTTGCCTGGGGTCATGCAGCTAGGGATGAGCAATACTGTGATTTGGATTGAGTTCTGTGGATTCCAAAGTTCATTCTCTATGCTGTATTTCAATATCTGAATAATCTTCCCTAAGGTAGTTCCAAGAAACATCCCTGCAAGAGTCAAGGTAATGTTTGCAACCTTGTTTCCACAGACTCCCTGGACTTTGTCACCCAGTGGCTGGAAGAGGCCTCAGATGAACTTACGACTCAAAAGTACAAAGTCTTGCCAGCTGGGGGAGGGGCTTCTGGCTCTGGGGATGCTCCCATGCTAAACCCTGTTGCCATTCAGAATTATGCATACCTGAAGCTTTTGAAATGGGATCACTTCCAGAGACCTTTCCCTGAGGTAGGTGCTGCTAGGTAGTCTAATCCTGCGTACTTTATCTCATACTCCCAGCTTTTTAAAAAAGAATCATGTTATTCTGATAGAATTAACATACCAAAAGGTCCTTTTTTTTTTTTGGTCTTTTTAAGACAGGGTCTCCCTGTAGCCCCAGCTGTCCTGGATTCACCATGAAGACCAGGCTGGCCTCAAACTCACAGAGATCCTCCTGCCTCTGCCTCCTGAGTGCTGGGATTAAAGGCTGTACCACCACGCCCGGCTACATCTTTTGAAAAAAATTGCAGTTAATTCTTAATAAAATTTTCAGTGTATGAAACAATGGGTTTCATTCTGACATTTTCATATATATCAATTGTACTTTGCTCATATTTACACCCCCCCATTACTGCCCTGTCTCTCACTCTTCTTCCTGCTTCTCCCTTTTCTCTTCCCAATAACCTCCTTTGGCTTCATGCTTTACATATTAAAAAAAAATTTGTTAGTGTATAAGAATTTTACCTGCATGTATATAAGTGCACCGTGCATGCAATGCCTATGGAGGCCAGAACTTTATATGCATGGAATCATACCATTTATCCTCTTGTGTCTGACTTATCATGATGTCTTCAAGGCTTCATGTAGTACGTGTCAGCATTTCTTTCTGGTTTCAGATTGAATATTGTATCCTGTTGTGTCCACATCGCATATTTCATTTATTCTCTTTCATAATTTTATTGTTGCCACTTTAGCTATCATGAATTATGCTCTCATGAATGTCTGTACAGCATTCTGTGTGGACATGAGGTTTCAATTCTCTTGGTTGTATATCTGGAATTACAGTTGCTGGTGACTCCAAGCTTAACATTTCGAGAGACTGCTGAACGCTTCTTCAGCAGCTGTGTTGTTTGACAGCCCTACCAGCTGTGTGCAGTACTTCCAGTTTTTTATCCTGTTTTTGTTTATCTTGATCAAAGCCACTTGTATTGTTTCACAGCCGTTCTACAAACACTCCTTCTGCAAACACTCCTTCCCCTTCCAAGCTGAGGAGTGTTTTCTTCATGTTCAAGTGTTTCTAGCTGTAGCAGAATGACCTTTGGGGGAGTCTGGCAGTAGCTCATTTGGTGTGTGCCCTTGTCTTCTTTGAGGGCATTTGTTCTTGTTTCTAGCCTCAGTTCCTGCTGCTCCTCTAAATGTCTTTCTCGTATGTTCTTTATTTTTTCTTTCAAAAAGTTGTAAGCTTCCCTTCTTGCTCTGAGTTCTCTGTATTAAAGGGGGATCTGAAGATGGTGTTGACTTGTTGGAAAGTGTTCCTCTCTGAGTAGTTATGTAAGACCTTCTGGAGGAGACCTGACGTTTCTCTTTAAAAAATGACTACAGGGAAGATTGTGGTTTTCACTGGGACTACATGTCTGTTCCTAGAATTCATCTTTGGAAGTCTTTTGCATCCTGAAGTCCAGTACACACTGTTGAGAGGTCAGAGTGCCAAACTAAAATGAAGTTGCAGCCATGTATAAAGGGGACCCGAAAAAGAGACTGTTGGGAAGTCTACTCCAGCAAGGCTGTTTAATGATAGGATTCAGTCTTCAGAGACAGTTTTACCTCCTAAGATGTTTGGACTCTGTGCTGCACAGCTTTAGTTGCCAACTTGACACACCTGGGTAGAGGGAGCCTCAACTGGGGAATTTTCTTTTTTGGACTGGCCTGTGGCCATGTCTGTGTTTTCTTGATTCTTGATTCTTGAGCCATGTGGGAGGGCCCAGCCAGCTGTGGGTGGTGCCACTCCTGGGCAGGTGGGCCTCTATTATATAAGAAAGCAGGCCTGGCATGGTGGTGCACACCTTTAATCCCAGCACTCAGGAGGCAGGGCAGGTGGATTTCTGAGTTCAAGGCCAGCCTGGTCTACATAGCAGGTGCCAGGCCAGCTGGGGCTATAAGGAGACCCTGTCTCAAAGAGAGGAAAAAAAAAAAAAAAAAGTTGAGCAGGGGCCAGGGGAGTAAGCCAGTAAGCAGACATTCCTCCATGGCCTGTGCTCCAGCTCCTGCCTCCAGGTTCCTGCCCTGAGTTCCTACCTTGGGCTCCCTGATGAACTGTGACCTGGGAGATGTAAACCAAATAAATCCTTTCCTCCCCAAGTTGGTATTGTTCATAGTGTTTTGTCAAAGCAATTGAAAGAAAATTAGAACAGACTCTGACTCTAAATTGTAGTTTTTTAAAGACACTATAGTCTTTAAACTTTAAACAATAAAAGCCTGAAACTTTTATTGATCTTCCTACATCAGCCTCCCAAGAGCCAGGATTACAATATGGGCCACTCTGCAGGACTTGACCCTAAATTGCCAATGTCTTGATTTGAAGTATTTCAGCTTCTTATAAATTTATCATGTGAACTGGGCGTGGTTGTGCACGCCTTTAATCCCAGCACTCTAAAAAAATAAGACCAAAAAACCAAACAAAAAAAATTGTCATGTGAGAGGCAACCATGGCAGTCCAGCTTTCAGGTGGCCCTGTGGATTCTGCTCCATTCGTCATTTCCTTTTTTCGGGGGGGGGGTGTCTTTTTGAGAGACCCTCCTCTTCCCTGCCTTCCTATTTCCTTGCCCACTTAACCCTTCTTATCCCATTATTCCCTATCACTGCATTCTATCTCTTCTCCCATTAAGCTCCCATCCCTGTGTCCCTTTCTAGTTTCCTGACCTCTATGAATTTTCCATTCTAAACACACATATCTAAAGATTCAAAGGTAGCATCCAACTTATGAGAGAGAACATGTGATCTTTGTCTTTCTGAGTCTCAGTCACCTCACTCAGGATGCTTGTTTCCAGTTCTATCCATTTAGCTGCAAATTTAATAATTTCATTGTTCTTTTTTTAAAAAAATATTTTTTATTATTTTTATTTTATATGCATGAGTGTATTGCCTGCATGTATGTGAGTGCACCCTTGTCGTGCAATGCCGCGGAAGTAGGAAGAGAGCTTCAGATTCCCCTGGAACTGGAGTTAAGGACGGTTCGTAGCTGCCATGTGGGTGCTGGGAATCGAACCTTGGTCCTCTGCAAGAGCAGTCAGTGCTCTTAACTGCTGAGCCATCTCTCCAGCCCCATCATTTTTCTTTTTTAAAAAAAATATTTTTATTTTATGTGTATGAGTGCATTACTTGCATGTGTGTAAGTGTACCTGTGTTGTGCAAGGTCATAAGAGAGTGTTGGATCCCCTGGAACTAGAGTTTACAGCACTGGGTGAACAACACTGCCAAGTTTGACTGCAAGTTTGGCATGGACTCCAGCCTGCTTTATCCATTTTAGAAGCTTAGACGCTTTTCTCTTCTATGTCCTCCCCCCCCAGGATTTTCCTTTCCACAAGTTGGGGGCTTAACTGGGTATGGTCTTGCCCTGGAGGCACTCTCTCCATTGTTTAAATTTGAATCTCTAGGCCCCTCAATCATTTTAATCTCCTTATCAATGGGATCCTCTCCAGCACATGCCAGGGCTCCAACATTTATCTTCCTAGTGCTCTTTTTCAATCCAAACCGTATTTCTTTCTGCCCCATTTGTGCTTTTTCACTGTAGATCTGCATAATATTCACCATTAATATCCATGCCACCATTTCTACATTAGGCTGTCTTGCAATTTCTTCTGCCAGAGAAATTAGTCCATTGCTTTTCACCTTAGCCTCATGCACCTTAGCCTCATGAGGGCAGACTCCAGCCAGACTCTTTGCCAAAATATCCCAATTGCTGCTTAAGTCTTTATTTCCCTCTGGAACTACATTATTCTCAGCACTACTTTCTTCCAGGCATCTACTAGACTGGCCTGTTAAGTTCTGCTTACAGCAATCATATGCTTTTCTAGCCCTAACTTCCAAAGTCTTCCACATTCTTCCAAAACCCCACATGGTCAAGTTCTACACTGCCAACAGCCCACTCTCTGGTACCAATTACTGTATTAGTCACTTTTCTGTTACTGTGATAGAAACACTGACCTGAGCAACTTATAGAAGGAAGAGTTTGAGCTTACAGTTCCAGGGGAATTACAGTTCATCATGGCAGGGAGGCATGGTGGCAGAGGTGGCTGGAGGAGGAGCAGAATCTAAGCTCTCACATCATCACACAGGCACAGGAAGCAAGAGAGAAACTGGCGATCTGGCAAGGCTTAAGAACTCTGTAAGCCCACCCCCAGTGACATGCTTCCTGAAGGATAGCCACACCTTCTAAAACCTCCCAAAACTGCCATCATCTGGGGACAAAAATGTCCAAACACTTGGAGCCTATAGGGAACATTTTCATTCAAACCACCACAATACCCCCTTTCCCATTCCCCTTTGGCACCATCCCATAGCCCCCCACACACACACGCACTGGAGTTTAAACATTCTGTCATTTGTATTAAGGCCTAATATGTAAAGTTAGTGTCCCAAGATGTCCCTCAGTGCAAGTTCATCCATTGGGGTTTAGTCAGCCTATCTAGAGTCTCTCCCTTTAAGAAGATCAGCTCTTCCTCACGCAGCAGAAATCAGCTGCCAATAATTCTTCAACTAAGATTGGGGCTTGCGGGGCTAGAGAAATGGCTCAGCTGTTAAGAGTACTGACTGCTCTTGCAGTGGACCCGGGTTCGATTCCCAGTACCCACATGGCAGTTAAGTAGTGTCCTTGATTCTGGTTCCAGGGGAATCCGACACCCTCTTCTGACCTCTGCAGCATTGCACAACATGAGACACTCACATACATGCAGACAATACACTTGAACACACACACAAAAAAAAAAAATTAAAAAAAAAAAAAGGATTGGGGCTTGCTATTCATTTCCACAGTTTTGTCCTGGGTTTTTGTCTGCCAAAGTTTGTATGAGAAGGGTCCCACGCCTGTAGGAGTATTTCCATATGGCCATGTACCTCCTCCTTGGCACTTACAATCTTTCTGCCCCCTCTTCCCCAATGGTTCCTGAGTCCTGGGTGGGTGGACCTCAATATAGGAGTCTTGTCCAAGGATCCATACTCTGCCAACTCTTATTCTCTGCATTTTGGCCATTTGTGACCTTTTGTGCCCCTGGCTCTGGCATGAGGGATCTTCACTGATGCCGTGAATCTTAGGATTAGGTGTAGTGGTTACATCCTAGATGTGTTACTTAGGCTTGGGCAATTCACAGAGAATCTGTGTGTGACCAGTGGCATAACTCTAATAATCTCTGTCTGTTGAAAAAGAAGCTACATTGATGGGTGGTGACTGAGATACTTGTTTATAAGGATTTGGTGGGAGGATCTACAAGTGAGGGAGAACATACATCTTTTGCTTTTCTGAGTCTGTGTTGCTTCACTTAGTATAACAGTTTCTAGATCCATCCATTCACCTGCATTCATTATTTCATCTTTCTTTACTACTGAATAGAACTCCACTGTGTAAATATACCACATTTTTGTTAACCACTCATCACTTGAGGGGCACTTAAGTTGCTTTCATCTCTTAGCTATTGTGAAAAGAGCAGCAACAAACATGGTCATACAAGTATTTCTGCAATAGGATGAGTCCTTATGCCAAGGAGTGGTATAACGGGGTCATATGGTAGGTTCATTTGTAGTTTTGTAAGAATTCTCCACACTGCTTTCCATAGGGGTTGCACAAGTTTGCATTTCCACCAGCAATGAATGAGCGTTCCCCTTTTTCCACATCCTTGCCAGTGTTTGGTATCATTTGTTCTCTTGATCTTAGCCAGCCTGACTGGGGTAAGGTGAAATCTTAGGTGGTTTTAATTTGAATTTCCCTAATGACTAACAATGTTGAACACTTTTTAAGATGTTTCTTAGCCATCTTTATTTCTTCCTTTGAGAACTCTCTGCTTAGATCTTTAGTTCATCTTTTAGTTATGTCATTTGTTTTCTTGATTCTTTGTTTTTTGAGTTCTTTATATATTCCTTTATATAAACCTCTGTCAGATGTGTCACTGGTGAAAATTTTTTCCTACTCTTTGGGATTTCTCTTCATTTTCTTAATTGTTTCTTTTGCTGTACAGAAGCTCTTTTTTTTTTTTTTTTTAATATTAAAGCCCCAGCTGGCCTGGAACTCACTAGGTAGACCAGAATGGCCTTGAACTCATAGAGATTCGCTTGCCTCTACCTCCCAAGTGCTGGGATCAAAGGTGTGTGCTACCACAGCTGGCACTGTACAGAAACTTTTTAGTTTAATGAGATCCCACTTGTTGATTGTTGACCTTAATTCCTGAGCAACCTCCACTAGTTCTTTTATTGTTCAGGATAATTTTGGTATTCTGATTTTTTATGATTCCATATGAAATTTAAGATTATTTTTTCAATTTCTTTGAAGAATTGTGTTGGAACTTTAATGAAATTGTGTTGAATCTGCAGATTGCTTTTGGCAAAGACCCACCCCCTCCAAAAAAAAAAAAAAACATATGAACAAAGATGAAAAAATTCTCAATAAAATACTTGCAAATCGAATATAAGAGCATATCAAAAAGATTATCCAGCACAATCAAGTAGGCTTCATTCCAGAGATACAGGAAGGTTCAACATACATAAATCCATAATTCAATCCAGCACAGTGGTTAAGAGCAGTGGCTGCTCTTGCAGAGGACCGAGGTTTGATTCCCAGCATCCACATGGCAATTAACAACCATCCATAACTCCAGTTCCAAGGGAATTAGATGCTCTCTTATCTCTGTGGGCATTGCACAACATGGGTGTACTTACATACATTCACGCAATATGCTCATACACATAAAATAAAAATAATACATTAAAAAAATCTAACATCCATTCATGATAAAAGTCACAGAGAACCTAGAAACACAGGGGATACATCTCAACATAATAAAGTCAATATACAGCAAGCCCACAGCCAACATCATACTAAATGGAGAAAAACTCAAAGCATTTCCACTAAAATCAGGAGCCAGACAAGGATGTCCATTCTTTCTATTCCTGTTTAATACAGTACTTGAAGTCTTCACTAGAGCAATAAGACAAACGAAGATGATAAAGTGGATATAAATTGGAAAGAAAGGCCGGGTGTGATGGCGCATGCCTGTAGTCCCAGCACTTGGGAGGCAGATCTCTGTGAATTCAAGGCCAGCCTGGTCTACATAGTGAGTTCCAGGACAGCTGGGGCTACAGAGAGACCCTGTCTCAAAAAGACTTAAAAAAAAAAAATTGGAAAGAAAAGTCAAAGAATCCCTATTTGCAGTTGGTACGATTCTATACAGAAAAGATCCAAAAGACTCTACCAGAAAAATCCCAGAGCTGATAAACACATTGAGCAGAGTTGCAGGATACAGAATCAACACAACAAACACACTGAGAAAGAAACCAGGGAAACAGTCTCATTCACAATGGCCTCAAAAACCATAAAATACCTTGGAATAAATGTAACAAAGGAAATGAAAGACTTGTGTAACAAGAACTTTAAACCATTCAAGAAAGAAATTGAAGATACCAGAAAATGGAAAGACCCACATGCTCATGCATTGATAGGATTAATATTGTGAAAATGGCCATCCTTCCAAAAGCAGTGTACAGGCTTAGCTGATTCTTAAGTAGCATACTGTGCTACATCCTTTCCCAGCAGCATCCCGCCCTGAGCTGGAAGGAGAGTTCACCAAGGCTGCCTTGTAGCCAAAAAAGGCAATCTAAGAACTCCTGAGGGGGTACTGCAGAGCAGGTCCGAGGCTGTGGCCACACTGCCCTCTGCTGGCCACCTGGGTCTCTGCTCATCAGTGACTGTTCATTACAGACAGTTTTGATGGACCAGTCTCGTTTCCAAGAGCTCCAGCTCCAGCTGGAGCAGCTGACCATCCTGGGAGCCGTGCTGCTGGTCACATTCAGCACAGCAGCCCCTAGAATTTCTGACCATGCTGACTTTGCTGAGAAACTCAAGATGATTGTAAAGATTCTGCTAACGGATATGCATCTGCCGTGAGTGATGGGGCCCCTGGAGTGATGACCTTTAGTTCTCCAATGGGAGAAGGGGGTGGCAGAGAGTAGATTAGAGCAGAGCCTCCCAGTGTAAGACCACTGTTCAGGAGCTAAGAAAAGACTTTGCCTACCTGGTAAAGACTACAGTGGAGTTTATTCATGGATGTAGGGTCAAAATTTGAGGGAACTGGGGCTGGAGTGGTTAAAAGGACATACTGCTTTTGTAGAGGACTCAAGTTTGGTACACAGTACTCAAGTAAGGCAGTTTATAACCACCTATAACTCCAGCTCCAGGGAATCTGACACCTCTGGCATCCAAGGGCACCTGCACTCACATGCAAATACCCACACACATGCACATAATTAAAGATAACACGGGGAGAGATGACTCAGTGGTTAAATGCATTTGCTGCTCTTGCAGAGGTCCAAGTTTAGTTATCAGCACCCACAAGATGGCTCGTGATTACCTGTAACTCCAATTCTAGAGGTTCTGAAGCTCTCTTCTAACCTCCATGGGTACCAGGCATGTACAGGTACACTTACATACATACATGCAGGCATTCACAATGATTCACACAGAAAAAAAATCTTTTTAAAAAAATTTAAAAAGTAATACAATTTTTTTTAAGTTAAAGGGAGCTGGGCATGATAGCTCACATCTTTAATCCCAGCACTCAGGAGGCAGAGGCAGGCAAATTTTTGTACATTTGAGGCTAGCCTGGTCTACATAAGGGAGTTCTAGGCCAGTCAGTGCTACATAGTGAAACCCTGTCCCCCAAAAAACCCCAAACGAAACAAACAACAAAGTTAGAGGGTTGGGTTTAGCAAGGCTCTAGGATCATGGTTTTGAAATGTTTGTGATTAGTACCTGTGCTAGTTTGTTCTTCATTGCTGTGACAAAACACTCTGACCACTACCAACTTGGAGAGGAAAGGGTTTATTTATCTTACATCACTCGGGTCACAGTTCATCAGGGTGCCCAAGGTAGGAACTCAGGGCAGGAACGTGGAGGCAGGAGCTAGAGCACAGGCTGTGGAGGAACACTGCTTACTGGCTTGCTCTCCTGGCCCCTCCTTAACTTGACCTCTTATCCAACACAGGCCCACCTGCCCAGGGGTGGCATTACCCACAGTGGGATGGGCCCTCCTACATCACTCAACAATCAAGAAAATACCCCCACAGACATGGCCATAGGCCAGTCCAATGGAGGAAATTCCACAATTGAGGCTCCCTCAACCCAGGTGTGTCAAGTTGACACTAAAGCTATCCAGCACAATTGACCCTTTGTCAACTTGACACACAAACTCATCACTATAAAACCCATAACTTTCCAATTCTTGTCCCCAAGACACAATATTAACATTAATATCACAACATAAGACAGTACAACCTTAAAAACCCCATAGTCCTTAAAAAAAAAATCCAAACACTTAAAAGTCCACAGTCTCTTTTAAAAGTCTCTTAACTGGGGGCTCCTGTAAAACTGTCTTATTTCAAAGGGAAGAATTGGGCACACCTAAGCAAAATGAAAGTCCAGCAAAGTAGCTCAAGGCTGGACATCTGGGATTCACTCCCAATCTTCTGGGCTCCAAAGGGTACTGGCAGCTCCACTTCTCTGACTCAGCCATCCACAGCACACACAGCTCATCTCGCAGACCCAGGGCAGCTCCATTCCACACCTACTGCGGTCCTTGGTAGTCGTCCCACAGTCCTGGCATCTCCAAAAAGCTGGGATCTCCACTGAAACTGAGGCTACACCTTCACCAATGGCTTCTTCTTGCCTCTCCTGGTGCAAAGCCTCAGATTCTCTCCATGACCCCTTCAGCCCTAGGGTCTTAACTGTTACTGAAGCTGCACTTTCCCCTATAGCCTTTTCTGGCCTCAGTGTGCCAAGCCTCAGCTGCTCTCTGTGACCCCTTCACACTTTCAACACCAGAACCATGCAGGAGACTCTTACACATTACCAAGTCCCCCTTCTAGCTTGAGATAGAGGCTCGGGTCCCCTCTGTGTGCTGACCCTGAGAAAATACCTCCCAGAAGACTTCACCACAATGATGCTGGTATCTTGTTACTTACAGCTGATTTTTCAACCTCAACTAATCAGCATCAATTGTCCCAGTATAGCAAAGGTTTTACTTCAGGTTCTGGTCTCTTCTTAATCACAGCTGATTCTTCAACCCCGGCTTCAACCAGAACCCACAGATTCTTAATTCAAAATCTCACAAAAATAGCCCTGATAGTCTCTGCTTCCCTTTGAAGCTTCACAAGCCAGGCCTCTATTGTCTACAACTCTTTCAGCATAACTGTTCCAAGCTCCACAGCAACAAACTCTGAGCACACAATGACTTTTCCAGCCCAAAGTTCCAAACACTTCCACAGTCCTCCCCAAAACACCAAGGTCAGTCTGTCATAGCAATATCCCACTCTCTGGTACCAATTTCTGTCCTAGTTTGTTCTTCATTGCTGTGACAAAACACTCTGACCACTACCAACTTGGGGAGGAAAGGGTTTATTTATCTTACATCTCTTGGGTCACAGTTCATCAGAGAGCCCAAGGTAGGAACTCAGGGCAGGAGCCTGGAGGCAGGAGCTGGAACACAGGCCATGGAGGAACGCTGCTTATTGGCTTGCTCCTCTGGCCCCTGCTCAGCTTGATCTTTTATCCAACACAGGCCCACCTGCCCAGAGGTGGCACTACCCACAGTGGGCTAGGCCCTCCCACATCACTCAACAATCAAGAAAATGCCCCACAAATATGGCCACAGGCCAGTCCAATGGAGGCAATTTCCCAGTTGAGGCTCTCTCAACCCAGGTGTGTCAAGTTGACACTAAAGCTATCCAGCACAGTACCCATTATAAGCAATTCAGTTTCTACTGTCAGTAGTATAGTACATGCTGATATACATATGGAACTGAAATAAAAAGATGAAACTTACCCTGCGCTTAATCCATATTTTCTAACCTAGTCTTATTTACCTAAAAACACACACACACACAAAAAACTAGTTACCACCCATTGCTTTCACAACCAAAAAGCAGTAAAACCACAACCTTAAGAAATCGAAGAGCCGAAGAGATGGAGTGTGGTGCCTTTAATCCCAGCATTTGGGAGGCAGAGGCAGGCAGATCTCTGTAAGATTGTGGCCAGCCTGGTCTACATAATGAGTTCCAGGTCAGCTGAGGCTACAGGGAGACACTGTCTCAAAAAGAAAAAAAAAAAAAAAAAAGAAAGGAACCAAGTCTTGACCACCAGGACAGCTACTTGCTTGGTGTGTCTCTTCAAAGAGAAAGGTCAAAAAAAACAAATGTTATTCCTCCAGGGGCACACACAAACATTAACTTTCCTGACCTATGACCACTCCTTGTAGACATTCTGTTCTGGGTATTTTATTATATAGCAGAATACATAGCTAAGTGGGGTAGTACATGCCTTTAATCCCAATACTCTGGAGGCAGAGGCAGACAAATCACTGTGAGTTCAAGACCAGGCTGTTCTATATAGCAATTTCCAGGCCAGCAAGGGCTACACAGTGAAACCCTGTCCAAGAAAAACAAACAAGCAACACCAGCAAAAAAGCAGATCAACAGGCTGGAGACATGGGTCAGTGGTTAAGAGCACTGACTGCAGAAGACTCAGATTCAGTTCCCATTACCCATATGATGGCTAACAACCATCCTTAACTCCAGTTCCAGGGCATCAGATGGCCCTCTTCTGGCCTTTGTGGGCACCAGGCAAACATGGTGTACTTACAGACATGCAGGCAAAACACTGATACATATTTCTTTTTCTGTCTTTTTGAGACAAGTTCTTGTAGGCTCATCTGGCCTGGAACTTGCTATGTAGACCAGGCTGGCCTTGAACTCATAGAGATTAGCCTGCCTCTGCCTCCTGAGTACAGGGATTATACTAATATGTATTTAAAACAAACAAAAAAAGCCAGATGTGGTGATTTACATGATTTACAGCACATAGGGTAGATTTGAATAGTTCCAGTAAACCATGTATCTGACAAGGCCCTGTCTAAAGATTCTTAGAAGGAAACACCCCTAGACATTCTCATCCTTGTAGAATGTAGGGATTGTACTGCTAGCTTATAGAAGGTGTGGGTGTGGTGAGGGCTAGCGGGGCATATTTACACTGTGACTAGGGATTGACTCAGCAGAGGAGACTGCTGGGCTGAGGCCTAGCAGGATGCCCTTGCCCAGGTACAGCCTTGGGCTGTCCCCTAGATCTGCTAGTAGAACAGCATTGTCAAAGCTACCAGTGAGAGAGCCCAGTCCAGCACTTCCTTGGGAGTCTGGTCCTGGACTCCTACATCTGCCCTGGCTGTTAAAGGGCTGTACAAAGTTGGCCTCAGCAATGAGTCCCGGGGCTTGCTCCCACATTTCCCAGAAGTCCTGCTGGTATAGGAGACCTAGAACCAGAAAAACCGTAATTTTGGAATTGCATATGGTGATAGTAAGTAAACGGTAGCTATTATTTTTTTTTAATTTTTAATAATTTATTATTTTTATTTTGTGTGTATGCATGTATTGCCTGCATGTAGGCAAGTGCACCTGTGTTGTGCAATGCCCGCGGAGGACAGAAGAGGCTGTCAGAGCCTCTGGAACTGGAGTTATGGACCAGTTGTTATCTGCCATGTGGGTGCTGGGATTCAAACCCGGGTCTTCTGCAAGAACAGCCAGTGTTCTTAACCGCTGAGCTGTCTTTCCAGCCCCAACAGTAGCTATTATTAAAACAGATGAAATTGAAATGTTATTCCCATGCATCCCCACCAGCAGAAGACTGTCTTTCAGGTGCTCTCAGGGAGTCTAGGGGCCCCAAGGAATCAAGGTGCAATTTTAAAAAACTATTTTGGATTTTTTTTTCTTCTAAAACTAGCTAATATAAGCTGGGAATGGTGGCACATTCCTGTGATCCCAGCACCTTGGAGGCCAAGTGGGAGTTTCAGGAGTTTAAAGCTAGCCCTGGGTACATATCAAGTTTGAGGGCAGCCTGGTCTACCTTGTTATGAGGTCTTGGGTTTGATCTCCAGCATGGAAAAAAAAATCAAAAGATACAAAAGAATATTCAATGAAAAGATTTGTTTCTCTCCACCTCCACACACACACACCTGTCCCACAGCTACCAAATTGCTGATCTTTCTCTTTTTTTTTTTTTTTTTCGTCAGGGTCTCCCTATAGCCCCAGCTGGTCTGGAACTTGTTATGTAGACCAGGCTGGCCTTGAATTCTCAGAGATCTCCTGCCTCTGCCTCCCAGGTGCTGAGATTAAAGGCATGTGCCGCCATGCCTGGCAGTCTTCCTCTTTTTAAAAAATATTTTATTTTTATGTGTGTGAAAATCTTGCCTGCATGTAGAGTTCACCCATGTGTGCAATGCCCCTGGAGGCCAGAAGAGGGCATCGGATCCCCTTGTACTGGAGTTATGGAAAAGGTTAGCAGCCATGTAGGTGCTGGTAACTGAACCTGGGTCCTCTGGAAGAGCAACCAGTGTTCTTAACAAGCCCTGAGCCATTTCTTCAACCCCAAAGGGAAAGGCCATTATGACTGTTTGGTTTTATTTTGAGACAGGATCTCACTGTGTAGCACTGGCAAGCCTGAAACTCATGTAGACCATAAGGAGTCTGGTCTTAAGCAGGTCTTACAGAGCTCCACCTGCCTTGTACCTCCTGAGTGCTGGGATTAAAGGCATGTGCCACCTTGCCCCATCTCTTGTGTATTTCTCTAAAGGTGCTTAAAGATATTCATAAGTCAAGCTTATTTCATGACATAAGCACTAGCAAGTTGTGCTTTGAGGCTTGGGGATATAGCTCAGTTGGTAGAGTGCATGCCTAACATGTATGAAGTCCTGATCTCCAGCAGCCCATAAAACCTGGTGTGGTGGCACACAGCTATAGTCCCAGCACTCGGCAGGCAGAGGCAGAAGAATCAGTTCAAGGTAATCCTCGGCTACATAAGTTGGACCCAGTCCTGCCCCCCAAAAGAAGTTCTGTTATAATGAAAGGGGAAAAAAAGTGCTCCCAAGTCAGGTGTACACAGCCTAGGAAGTAAGGGAACAGGAAAGAAAGCATAAATCTCCACTTAACGCATGAATCCACTCCTTAGTGCCATTGCTTTTGTTAGGGCAGGGCTGGTTATGTGTGCGCTATACTTACAAGACCTTTCTTCTCCTGGCTCCTCTTCCTTCTCCAGTTCCTTCCATCTAGAGGATGCCCTGACTGCCATTGGGGAGAAAGTGTGCCTGGAGGTGAGCTGCTGCCTCTCCTCATGTGGATCCTCCCCATCCTCCCTGGGCAAGGAGACTGTACTTAAGGGCCAGATCCAGGCTCTGGCCAGTCCCGACGACCCCATTCGAAGGATCATGGGTATGTTTGTGACACAGTGGGATGTGCATCAAGAACATACTCTTACAGGGCCTGGGGGACAGACCCTGGGAAACAATCTGAGGTCCAATGGGATTTATGAGCACTGCTGGGAGAGGAGAGAGTGATTCATCACCAGTATGATCACTTGGCTAAAAGGACAGGCATGTGGCCAGAAGCCATCACAGGCCTTGGCTCATCCTTATTTCAACACTTACTGTGTATCTTGGCAGGTGACTTGACCCTTGGGTCCCTGCATCCCTAGAAAGGATATGATGTTAACAGCCTGACAAGGTTACAGAGAGGACTACACGTAATAAGAACTGTAAAGAGTCAGACATGGTGGCAACCGCCTTTAATCCCAGAAGTCAGAGGCAGGGGCAAGCGCAGGCAGCTCTCTATGAGCTTGAGGCTAATCTACATAGTAAGTTCCAAGTCAGCTAGGGCATCACAGTGAGGACCAGTTTCAACAAAACAAAACAAAAACAAAAGAACTGTAAAGGGCTAGCCTTGGTCAAACAGCAAGTGAAGAACACTCAGCTATTAAGATGGCTGATAATGGGACTAGAGCGATGCCTCAGCCTTTGAGAGCTTTTCCTACTCTTTTAGAGGACAACTGAGTTCTGTTCCCAGCACCCACACTGGGCTCACAACCACCTATAACTCCAGCTCCAGGTGGTCCAATACCCTCTTCTGGTTTCCATGAGCATTTGCATTCACGTACTCATATATACACACAGACAAACACACACACACACACACACACACACACACACACACACACACATGCACGTGCGTGCACGTGCACGCAATTAAAAATAATAAAAATGAGCTGGGCACAGTGGTGCATGCCTTTAATCCTAGCACTTGGGAGGCAGAGGCAGGCAGATCTCTATGAGTTCAAGGCCAGCCTGGTCTTCAGGTCTAGGCCAGCTGAGGCTACAGGGAGAGCCTGCCTAAATAGACCAAAATAGCTGGGCGTGGTTGTGCATGCCTTTAGTCCCAGCACTTAGGAGGCAGAGGCAGGAGGATCTCTGTGAGTTCAAGGTCAGTCTGGTCTACATAGTGAGTTCCAGGCCAGCTGGGCCTATAGAGAGACCCTGTCTCGAAAAGACAAAAAAAAAAAAAGGCCTAAATAAATAAAAATAATAAAAATGAATCTTAAAAAGTAGGCCAGGAAGTGTGATGCTTGCCTTTAATCCCAGCACTTTAATCCCAGGCTACCTGAGACTCTATCTCAAAAAAACCCAAAGAAAAAAAAAAAAAAAAAAAAACAGCCCAAACTCAAAATTAACTATTCATAATTACAATTATTAATTAAAACCATATTAGCTTAACCTGCCGGGTGTGGTGGCACATGCCTTTAGTCGCAGCACTCGGGAGGCAGAGGCAGGTGGATCTCTGTGAGTTTGAAGCCAGCCTGGTCTCCATAGTGAATCCAGAACAGCTGGGGCTACAAAAAAAGTACTAAACGTATTGAAATAGCAACACTGCAGTATATATATCTATAGATTGATAGATATATAATATACACATATTTACTATATTACACAACATGGGTCCACTTACATGCAGGCAATACACATACACATACACATACACATACACATAAAAATAATAAAATATTTTTGTAAAAAATTGGGCAGGGTGTGGTGGCGCATGCCTTTAATTGGATCTCTGTAAGTAAGTTCAAGGCCAGTGTTATCTACATAGTGAGTTCCAGGCCAGCTGGGGCTACAATAAGATAAAAAATATATATAAATATATAATTGCTATAAATATATGATTAATTAAAGTAGTTTAATCAAATATTAAATATATTCTGCATTTATTTTATTTTATTTTTTTATTTTTTTGGTCTTTTCGAGACACAGTCTTCCTGTAGCTCCAGCTGTCCTGGAACTCACTATTTAAATCAGGCTGGCCTTGAACTCACAGAGATCCGCCTGCCTCTGACTCCTGAGTGCTAGGACCACTCCCGGCGGATAGATCAATTTTTAAAAAATTAAGACCTTTGTTTTCAAACCCTCTTCATCCCAGCCCTGCATTGGCCACATTTTAATCAATGTGTCACTGAGGAAGGGGCAGATCACCCAGATTTGTATTCAAGGAGGGTACAGAGGCAAGAAGAGCCCTAGGCCTGTAGCTACTTTCTTCTGAAACTACACCTTGCTTGCTTCCTGGTAGCTCTAGTTACAGTCTGGGGGAGAGAAACCAGCCCTTGGGTGGGTTTATACAAGGACGCCCTCTTCTGGGTGAGGCTTCCAGCTCTGGGAACCTGGAGAAAACCAGATTCCTTGAAGAACAGAGGTACTAGGACCCAGCTTTCAGTATGTTTGTGTTTGGAGGTTCAAAGGTACTAGTTGTTTGTACTTAAGAGGGTACCTCAGTACAGGAGACAGAAGAGGTGCTTTAAAAAAGCCCATTCAAGCAATATAAATGTCTGTTGTTTTTGTAATTAAATCTACAAGAAATGTGGCTTGATCAGATCTTTTTTGGTTGATAGAGTACAAAGTAGGATGGAATGAGCTAAAAAAGCATTGATCAAAGTCATCCCTCTTTAAGTAGGACAAGTTCCCAGCTTCCCTGACTGCTGAGGCCTGACTGTGAGTCTTAGCCCCTTTTCCCATGGGCTCAGAAGGAAAAGACAGAGCATGGGATGGTGACCCAGCAGTCTCCCTCCCTCCCTCCTCTTTTCTCTTCCTTCTCTTTCTAATATTTTCAGCTCTGGAAATTGAACCCAGGGCCAGCACATGTTAAACATGCACTGTACTGTGTAGCTGCACTCTCAGCCTTCTTTTCTCTTGTGAACAATTTTTTTCTAAGATGTGTGTGTATGTGTGTGTGTGTGCGCGCGTGTGTGTATTCACAGAGACTAGAAGAGGCATCAGATCCCTTGGAGCTGAAGTTCCAGGCAGTTGTGAACTGCTCAGTGTGTGTGCTGAAAAACTGAACTCCTCTGAAAGAGGAGGAAGTGCTCTTAGCCACTGAGCCATCTCTTCAGCACCCCTCTTCATTTTTGAACTTGCTATTCCCATTTTATTTTCCTTCTTTGTGAGTGTCCTTTGGCAGTGGTCAGTGTTGGTCTCAGTGTCCTGCTCTTCTGAGATCAGAACACATCAATGCTGCAGTCTCCCTTTATGCATGCATGCATGCACACATGTATTCTTGCATTGCATATGTGTTTGGAGCTTCTGAGGGTCAGGTCTTAATTGACAGGCATCGTGCAGAGTACTGAGGAAAGAGAATGAGGACCAGGTTAAGGAGTCTAGTTTCATGAAACCAACCCTCTAGAGGTATGAGAAACATTACAAATGGGATGACTATGTAGAAGTGCAAGGTTCTGAGTATCCCATTTGGGTGTGGCCTGGAAAGCCATCCCCAAACAAGCCCTCACTAAAGTAAGAACTGAAGCCTAGTCACATGTATGTAAGGTCGCCCTGAAGGAGAAACACTTTATCCCTCTTCTCTTCCATCACAGAATCCCGAATCCTGACATTCTTGGAAACATACCTTGCCTCTGGCCATCAGAGGCCATCGCCTGCAGTGCCTGGGGGATTGGGTCCCATTCAGAAAGAGCTGGAAGAAGTTGCTGTGAGATTTGTTCGCCTGGTCAACTATAATAAGATGGTGTTCAGTCCTTACTACGACTCAATCCTCAGTAAGATCCTCCTCCGATCCTAGCGCGCCTGACAGCAGCAGTGTTCACCATCGCCTCAGAATGCCTGTCTTAACAATGCCGTTGCTTTGGAGAATGGCTGTGTAGTACACTTCTATTTAATAGCAACGATTCCAAAGGGAAGAATATTGTGTATTGCTGTTGAAAAGACTTGAAGAATGCACAGAATTCTATTTTGAGAGATTGTACTTATGAGTGGAAGTTTACAAATTGAAGAAGCTTTTTGTTATCTTGAGTTTTATAGGTAGCACTTAGCTTTCCGCGGTTGGCTGCCTGCGTCTCCACTTGTGCTGTGTTCTCAAAGCAGCTGCGTCCTCCTGAGGAGGCTGGGGTCTTTCTCTCCTGTGGTTTTGGAGAGTTCTTTTCTCAGATGCCCCACGTTGATAGCCACCACGAGTAAAAGACCAAGCCGTGACTTTCCTCTTGCCCTCTTTACCTCACTGCTTCCCGTTTTCCTCCCTCTGGGTATTTTATGATAGAAGGGCTATCTCATCTTACAGTGTCCTGGGTCCCTCTGTCCCAACACTGACAAATTAATTGCTTCTACTGGCTTAGCCAATGTTTCAGAGCATTTTGTTCTACAGCAGAGTTACATGATATTTACTTTTATTTTTTTGAAACAGAGTCTCTCTCTCTCTCTTTCTCTCTCTCTCTATATATACACACACATGCACACACACACACACACACACACACACACACACGTACATACCTCCGCACTCCTGACTGGCCTGGAACTGGCTCTGTAGACGGCACTGGCCTCAACCTTGCAGCAGTCCTCCTGCCTCTGCCTCCCAAATGCTAGGTTTATAGGCCTGGGCCACCATACCTGTTGGAGCTAACTTGATTTTCTAAAGCTTATTTTGTTGGTTTCGGGGGAGGGGGCATGTAGCACAACAGTCAGTGATTGCCTAGCATGTACAAGGCCCCGGGTTTGATCTCTAGCATTTAATCTTTCACACAAAGTTGGACATGGTAGCGTGCCCCCATAGTTTCCGCTACTTGAGGGGAGGGTCATTTGGGACGAGGCATAAACTCCATATTCAAAAAAATAATTAAAACAAAAAGGAAAATGCTAGTTCTCTTCTATAGAAATACAGCTGAACCCCAGGATGGTGGGAGTTAAAATTTATGGAGCAAGGCATGGTGACAAATGCCTATCATCCTAGCGTTTGGGAGGCTGAGGCAACAGGATTACAAGTTAAAGAGCAGTCTGGACTATATAGTGAGACTCTGCTTCAAAGACAACAATGACATGGGTTTTAAAGAAATGAAATTCTTTTACTTTTAAGCCTTAAGCTATGGAGGAAAATTTAAAGATATACGTATATAGTTTAGTATAATAGGAAAGAAAAATGTATGGGATTTTATTTAAAAAGTTCACTGTGATAGAATACACAGATGTGGTAACTGAATTTAAACTCAAAGTGTCAAATATCCCAACCTCGCTAATCTAGATAAAGATGGCAGAAAATCCCTGGTATTTGAGCAGAATGTTCAAGGTCCTTTAGTAACCAGAATTCCTCATATACCATGTGACTATGCGAGTACCTTGGATCTCATAAATAATCTGTTCTGTTTTTAAAAGAAGTGTACATATACTGTATATGTTTTAGATAAGGACATTATTGTAGAAGCAGAGCCATGGAGTGACCTCCAGTGACCAGAAGCGCAGGGTGAAATAATTCAGAGGATCCCATGGACGTGGATGGGGGACAGATGGAGCGCCCTCTTTCAAAGCTGTCCAGTTATGCCAGGCTCTGTGAGCACATGGTGAGCCCAGCAGGGTGGAATACACCTGAAACCCCAGCACTCAGCACTCAGTAGCTGAGGCAGGAGGCTAGCCTGGGCTACATAGCAAGACCCTGGCTGAAAAAGACAAATAAATAAAAAGAATGAATGGTTATATTGAGGATGTGGTTTCTTCAAGTATGTGTTGCAAACTGCTCTAATGTGTTTTTTTCTTTGTAGTAAAAACAAGTGTGTGCTACATGATTGGTTGAGAAAGTCATAAAAGTTTGGGTGTGTTACAGGTAGGAGAATCAGTTCCAGGACAGCCTTGGCTACTAGCAAGTTTGAGGCCAGTTTGGGCTACATGAGACCCTTTCTCTAAAAAGCTTGGGGTATCTCAGTGGCAACCCTAGTTTTTGTGACAGCCTGTTTGGGGCTTCTACTCCCCTCCAAGGGTGGGGAAAGGATCTTTGCCCCTAACTGCAGCAGGGTGGAGTCACCAGTTCCCATAGCATTCTTCCTAAATCCCCCGAACTCTTCTGAGAGTTAGCCCTTACGTGTTTTTTTTCCCTCCTGGGTTCTGGACAATTTGAGACTTTGGTGCATAAAAAGCAAGGGCCTTCACAGACTTAGCACTTGTGCAGAAACTGCTGATGGAGTTCTACAACCAGTGGAAGCCAAAAATGAAGGAAGCATAGTTCATAATCACAATAGTCTTTGAATCATCTTGTTGTTGCTTTAAATATTTTATGTGTATGAGTGTTATGCCTGCATGTGTATAAGTGCACCCATGTCACGCGATGCCCTTAGAGGACAGAAGAGGGCATCGTATCCCCTAGAATTTGAGTTATGGACAGTTGTTAGCTGCCGTGGGGGGGCTGGGATTCAAACCTGGGCCCTCTGCAGAGCAGCCAGTGCTCTTAACCTCTGAGCCACTTCTCCAGCTCCTTGTTGCTTTATGACTGAGCTAATTTCCTTCCCAGGGTCTCATAGAAATATCAGTGAAAGGCAAAATTCATTTAGTCCATTTACTCAAGAAACAATATTAGGGGCTGGAGAAATGGCTTAGTGGTTAAGAGCACATACTGTCTTGAAGATGACCTGATTTCAATTCCCAGCACTCACGTCTTGTGGCTCACAACCACCTGTAACTCCAGCTTCCGGGGATCTGGTGCCTCTGGCCTCCTCCATCATGATCTGTATTCACATGCACATATCCACACACAGCCATAATTTAAAATAAATTTTACAAAAAGAAACAGGGGCTGGAGAAGTGGCTCAGTAGTTAAGAGCACTGGCTGTTCTTGCAGAGGACCCAGGTTTGATTCCCAGCACCCACATGGCAGTTAACAACAACCACCTTTAACTTCAGTTCCAGGGGATCCAATGCTCTCTTCTGACCTCGGTGGACATTGCATGACATGGGTGCACTTTCACCACTTACACACATTCAGGCAATACACTCATATATGTAAAATAAAAATAATAAAATAAAAAGAAACATTAAATATTTATTTGTGGGTCAGGTGATACAGCTTGGTGGTAGAATGCTTATCTAGCAGCATGAAGCCCTGGGTTCCAGCACCACCACCATGAAAAGAAAAAGCATTTATTTGTATGGCTCCTACAGCTGTCCCTCCAAGACAAAGCATTCTTGGGGTGTGTAAATTATCCTCCAGAAATGACTTGGTTCTGCTGCTTCATAAAGACTGCATCTGACTTGATTTCCTGCCGAACAGGTTTGTGGTGACAAGTGTCTTTTCATAAACTTGCTGTTTGGTTGGTACTTAAGTCATACGTGGATAGGTCCAGCCTTTTAGTTACCATCATGAATGAATGAATGTCATGAGTAGTCACTTGAGCTTTGTTGGCTCCACTTGGGTGAGTAGATGGGTGGATTCTCAGTCGTTTTTTTTTTTTTTCTCTTAAATTTCAAGCTGCAAAATGGGGTTATCCCTTCAACGATATAACTCAACTATAAACAGTTTCATGAACTATACTGGTAAGATGTCTTACCAGTTAATGCAATAGATAAATGTAGTGCACACCTTTAATCCCAGCACTCAGGAGGCAGAGGCAGAGGCAGATGGAGCTCTGTGAGTTTGAGGCCAGCCTGGTCTACACAGTGATGTTACACACTAGTTGTGGTGAGTCAGCCTGTTTCCAACACCTATAAAGTGAAAGCATTGACCTTGATTATTTGTTCCCTTGACCATCCTGACCTTCAGTGACAGAACTGTGGACAGCACTTCTGATTTAGATCTGGGTTTGAGTCTTTTTTCCTTCGCTGTCTTCTCCCTTAAGTCTCAGTATTTCGACCTGTAAAATTGGGAATGTTTTTGATACTGTTAGGACTAAATTTGATCATAGATATTAGAATGCTTCAATTGCTTTATTATCAGCAAAGGGGTTTACATAGCCCTCTTTGGGTGTACATCTATTTAGTGGTAAGATTCAACAGTATCCAACCTTCCTTCAGTTGAGCATTTTTATAGGCATCTAGGGAAAGCTTCCTTCCTGTCCCCAGCCAGGACTGGCATTTACTTCCTTTACCTGCTCAACTCAGAAGTCTGTCGTATCTTTCTTCACCACTTGACAGCCACCTTTGCCCACAGTCTCTCTTCATCTCTACTATTTATTTGAATTGAATTAAATGTGTGAATGAATAGATAAATGGGTGAATGCTAATGAGTGATGGGCTATCAAACTCAAATGTGAAGGCCCTCCTCACAATCTAGCGACAGCTGCAGCTGTGCATTCCTATCAGACTTTGCACCATACAATTATTTCATACATGGCCTTCTTAGACATAATTTTCAGAGCAACTTCATGGGATGGGTGAGGAGATAATTGTCCAGCTCGGTAAGCTCTCAGCTCTATTATTACCTACCAGATGGTCAGTGCTCCTTTCAGAAATAGCTGGTCCTAGAAATGAATCTCAGTAGCCTCCAGAGTTTTACCTAAAATTACCCCATGTAAGTTTGCCACACTTGGTTTAAATATATTGCTTTCTGAACCTAAGAACATCAGCTGTAGGTCTAGCATAATAGTGTTGCTTGATTTCACAACCAATTGCGTCCAGTGTCCACTAGTTAAATTTCATTTCCCTTATTTACACCTTTGACAATTCTATAACTGTCTGTTGGATTGTAGTTAATATGTAAATGTTTAAGAGTTCACTTACACCATAGTAAATAGTTCATAAATTCTGGTTTAGAAAAAGTATTTCTATCCCTAAAGCAAGCATCATTTAGAGTGGCAGCTCTTCTTTGACTGTGACACCAAATAAGTGAACTTGTTTTATTTAAAAACAAGCTCATGGCGCTTGCATGCTCTCTTGATCTTAGACCTGCGAGCCTCAGCCTGGTTAGCCAGGAGCTTCTTGCTGGCCTTATCTGCCTTCAGTTTGTAGATGTGTTCCATGAGAATCCGCTTGTTTTTTTAACACATTCCCCTTCACCTTCAGGTACAGGCTGTGGTACATGTGGCGGTCAATCTTCTTTGATTCACGATTGTCATTTTTAGGTGTGTTGTTTCGATTCTGGGTTTTTGTTCTGTCTTTTGAGACAGGGTCTCCCTGTAGCCCTAGCTGGCCTATGAAGACCAGGCTGGCCTGTAACTCAGAGATCGGCCTGGGATCAAAGGTGTGCACCACCATGACCAGCTTGTTATTCTTTTAAAAATTTTGAAATTTTTATTAAATAAAACAAGTTCACTTATTTAATGTCACAGTCAAAGAGCTGCCACTCTAAATGATGTTTGCTTTAGGGATAGAAATACTTTTTATGAACTATTTACTATGGTGTAAGTAAATTCTTAAACATTTATATATTAATTACAATCCAACAGAGAATTATACAATTGTCAAATAAATTCGTAATTATTAACCAAGGTCAATATGCTGACAAAAGTGTGGTATTTTTGGTGTTTTTTTGTTTTGTTTGACAGGGTCTTATTCTGTAGCCAGCCTGGCATGGAATTTACAGCCCAGGCTGACTTCACACTCTTGAAATCCTCTGGCCTTAGCCACTTGTGTGCTTGTGTGCTTGTATTACAGGGTATTTCTTTTCTTCATTTTTTTTTTTTTTTTGGTCTTTTTGAGACAGGGTCTCAAGAGTGCTGGAATTAAAGTCGTGCGCCACCATGCCCGGCTTTTTTTGGTCTTTTTGAAACAGGGTCTCCCTATAGCTCCAGCTGGCCTGGAACTCACTGTGTAGACCAGGCTGGCCTTGAACTCACAGAGATCTGCCTGCCTCTGCCTCCCAAGTGCTGGGACTACAGGCGTGCGCCACCACGCCCGGCTCAGCAGAACAACATGATTGATTTGTTTGTTTTTATATGTATGATTGTTTTTTTTTTAAATTCTTTTAATTTTATGTGTATAAGTGTATTGTCTGCATGTAGGTAAGGGCACCCATGTTGTGCAATGCCCGAGGAGTTCAGAAGAGGGCATTGGATCCCTTGGAACTGGAGTTACAGATAGTTGCTGTCATGTGGGTGCTGGAAACTGAACCCAGGTCCAATGCAAGAGCAGTCAATGCTCTTAACCACTGAGCCACCTCTCCAGCCCCCATGACTGATTTATTTTACACTACTGGTAGCTTCCATAACCTTGTACTGTGCTAGGGATGATGTTATAGCAATAACGTCTTGTTTGAAGTTTGGTAGTAAAGGCCACAGTTTAAGCTGATCTGGACATATGGTTAATAACATCTGAATTCACATTCTAAGTTGTATTGTCAGTATGAGTGCATTTAACACCATACTGCCCCCGCCTTGTTGGTTTTTTGCTCTGATTCTGAATCACAGTCCTTGAGGATCAGTTTTCTGTTTAAGTAGTTGTTTTGGAAATGAGTTAAAAGGAGGTTCTAACTTAATCTGCATGTTTTTGCTCATTATAATTATAATTTTGTTTAATTGGCTTTGTCTTAGATGCTTCCTATGTTTATCTCATGAGAAAGATTTACTCAGGTACCTTTTGAAATATGTTTAACAAGGAATGAGACAGTGGGTCCTTGAAGAAAAATCTCAGTTTCCTTCAGATTAATTAGGGGAAATTGCATTCATATTTGAGTATTTATAAAAATGTTTGCCTTTTTTGTCCTTATTGAGACAGGGTCTCCCTGTAGCCCTAGCTGGCCTGGTACTCGCTCTGTAGACCCGGCTGACCTCAAACTCAC